TGTGTGTGTGTGTGTGTGTGTGTGTGTGTGTGTGTGTGTGTGTGTGTGTGTATCAATGATACCAGAATCACTCAGAGGATGGTATAGCACATGTTGTGTCTGTAGACTTTCTTATTAACCTCCAATGGTAATCTTTCTGATAGACTAGGGAAGCCTTCAGCTTAATTCAATATAGTTTTATATTATTAATCATTCTCTGTCTCTCTCCTGAATGTACACATACAGTATATCATGCCAAATTTGGGTGAAATAATATTGATCACTTAATAGAAGCAGAATTAGCAATAGAAAGACACATACAATTATATTGTTTTACACATTTCATAAACACTTACATAAAACTGAAAAATATTTTCCACTTTTCCACTACTGATTATTGTAGTTTTCATGTTGTGATCAGCACATCACAGAAGAAATTGTTAGACAATTTCTAATAATATTTTGATGCTTCTTGTGATAATTTCTGATTTTTAGAAAAGAGATGTGTTGATTTTAATAATCATTATTTTAACAATTTCTGTGGCACTTCCAAAGCAGTCCTAGATTTCAATTACCCAATAATATCACTTACTTTGGCAGCTAAGCCAATTTATTTCCAGGACAGGCTGTGCAACCCAATTCTTTCTGTTATAAGGAAGCTCTGCAGAGTTTGTGGGCCATGTACACACATCAAATATTAACAACTTGGAACGGAATATTACATATTCTTTTAGGTCAGGGCTATCAAACTCATGGCCAGAGGGCCAGATGCATCATGTGCTGGCCACGGCCATGTCCAGTTTAACGAAGGGGGAAAAGTCATGATACATCACGTGACACCACTGTGATGATGTGAATTTGACACCCGTATTTTAGGTGGCTCCTGAGCTGATAACAGCTTGGATAGATGACCAAGTGAATGATGTTTTTTTGCAGCTGCTTATGATGCTGATCTGCTGAATTCTCAGAGGCAGAGAAGTAATAGTACTATCTCAAACTGCTCTGAAGAGATTATGGACTGCAAACAGTACTGTATAGAAGTAATATGCATTTGTTCCTTGAAAACAATAGCGACAGTGGAAGTAAACTAAGCCTAGTAAATGCATGCTTGTACTTTTAGTTTAAAGCAAAACTCAGATGTGAAAAAAAATATCTTTAGGAGGTTATAAATGTCAAGTTACTGTTTTTTTATCATTTTTTAACCACTGGTTAAGAAACATGACAGGCCAAATACTTGAATTAAGGCTAAATATTTGAATTTGGGGCAATATTCAGCATTAAAAATACACACAATGTTATAAAATGAGAAGAACTTCCTAAATAATTAGCAAGAAATCAACAATATGGCTAGAATGATGTAACTGGGAGACTTACTTATTCCAGGCTTGTCTAAGATTTTTAGCACTGTACTGTGTAAAGCGATCTGTAACAAAAAATAAGGACTTTTAATTTTATGTCAAATATTTTCCTTTATTATGCTTAGTATTAAAGGCAATGTTTACAAGCTAACAAAAATATGCCAATAGTAAACAACAGCTTCTGAAACAAAATAACAAGAAAAGCAGGAGAGTATCCCATTACTTGTAAAAATAAATTGTCACCTAATTCCTAAAACCTAATAGCATCTCTGTAGATTAGGCAAGTGGAATCACCACTAAAAAAACCATTTATAACAACAATGGGCCAGAACAAAGTTGTTTATTAAATTTGTATAAGAATACATTCCTTTACAGATAACTTGAAAAATTTTAAATTCAAAGTAACTACCATATTTTTTGCTTCGTAAGATGCACTTTTCCCCAAAAAGTGGGCGGAAAGGTCTTTTACAGTGCTGAACTCCGCCTCTTCTGTCTTTGTTATTGCCTGTTTTCCTCCTCTAAACCTAGGCGCATCTTATGGTCAGGTGCATCTTATAATGCGAAATATACAGTATATGGAAACTACCCAAGCTTCCCCGAAAATAAGACCCTGTCTTATATTTTTTGCCACCAAAAAGGCACTAGGTCTTATTTTCAAGGGATATATCCCTTGACTGACTAACCTCCTTGCACGCGTCGCCCCTGGCCTCCTTTTCACTGTCAGAGGCCTTCAGGAACTTCTTCTTCTGCAGCCAGCAAGGTTTCCTGAAGGCCTCTGCAGCCAATAACAGAGCTCCAGGTCAATCTGGGGCTCTGTTGTCAACTACAGAGGCCTTTAGGAAAGTCTTGCCAGCCTTGCCGGCTACAGAAGAAATGGGCTGGTAAGGCAGGTGTTGGGGTATGCGAGACCTGGCTGCAACTGTCCAAAGGTAAGCAACAGGGCAGCTCCACCACCCCCATACCCACCCTAGCTTAATTTTTACCTGTACACCCTGGAGTGGGCTTATTTTGGGGGTAGGGCTTATATTGGGTGCATATGTAAAAATAAAGCTAGGACTTACTTTCAGGGTAGGTCGAACTTCTGAAAACAGGGCATTGAATATTTAAAACTATTAATAATAAAATTCAGTAATTTAATTTATCTGTCAATTTGTAAAGATCTTGCACATGTTAAACAACTTTACAGAGACAGAGAGATCCAGTAACATTTATCTTGTAATGTGTACTCTGTCAAATCATAAAATATTCCTATGCCTGTTTTAGTAGTTGCCATATAAAAGGGGGGGGGAGGGAAGGAAATCTGGAAGAGCAGTGAAGCAGTTTGAAAGCGAAAATACATTCCAACTCTTATCTTTAAAAGATTGTAATATATTTAATTGGAGAACGTGAATGATGACACCCAGCCTGTGAACATGCTCAATTGGAGAATCTGGTTTATGAGACACCCAGGGACAGGCAGAAACAGGGTCACAGGTGACTGTAAATTACATATCCCAGAATTGGCTTCATATAGGGCAGTGCCAGTATGTCGCTCGTAATGAATCCTTTGAAGTTTTTTGAAATTTGGCTTGAGAATCATGATTTAATTAGAGCGATTGTTAGAATCCTGACCTGCTCTTTAGCAAAAATACATTAAGAATACCACATATGCCTGATTCAGTCTACATCAGATTGAAGGCCTTATATTCCAGTTTTTTATTCTTACAGTGACAAATCATAGCACAATTTCCCTTCCTGTACAATTTCAGAGGCATTTCGACCTGGTCCATCCAACTTATTAAGGGCTGACCCATGGTGGAGGGTAAACCATTAGATCTGGTTTTTGTCTTGAGGCAGTGACATTTTGAGGAAATTAACATTAGTCCCTTGTTACGGAAAGACCATTCCTTCTTTGTCCTCTTGGTCCTGGAGTTCTCCAAAACTGCTCCCCTCCACTGCAGGAAGTTGTTCTGTTAATCAGTCTGCCAGACGTGATTGGGTTTAACAATGAAGTTGGATTTTCCCCCACCAAAACTGAGCTTGTATCAGACAGCCCTGGATCAGACAGCCCCTATTGAGGATCATATAGTGTCCCTTCAATTCAAGTTTATTGTACACATGTTGTGCACTGACAATAAAGGTTTGAATTTGAACTTATCAAAAATCCATCTTTGGTCCTTTCTGTGCTAAATAAGTTTCATAGAGTTTTCAACCTTCTCCTAGACCTCTCCCCCTTTCTCTTTTAAATCTCCATGAAACTGATGGGGGGGGGGATAATCCAGCAGCATGATGTGGAGATGTATAACTCCTATCTGACTATCCAGGCATTGCTGTTCAGATGCTGATCCAGTACTTGGAGATAGTGGCTCCAACTCAACATGGCAAGATCAAGTGGCCCTGGATTTTTGGCTCCCACTAATCTGGTAAAGTGTCATTTCCAATTCTACAATCCCACAGACAGAATTTATGCACAATTTCCTGGAGTTGCAGCTTCTGCTTGTTAGTTGCTAAAAGCAACTGTGGCTAGAAGGGCCTTCATACAGATTTACAGTAAAGTCTCCCAGTTAATAAATGGCATACAAATTACAGTACATTCAGAAAGTATTCAGACACCCTTTACTTTTGTCAATTTTATTATGCCGCAGCCTGATTCTACAGTTGTTGAAATTTTTCTCACTGCTTTACACTCAGTACCCCATAAAGACAAAGTGAAAACAGAAGTTTAAAAACGTGACTGTTCTCAGGACATCTCTGAAAGTTGATCCTGTTTCTGATACCTTATTAGTCCTTAACTTACAACAGTTCATTTAGTGACCGTTCAAAAATACAATGGCACTGAAAAAAGTAACATGACTGTTTTCACTCTTATGACCGTTGCAGCATCCCCAAGCTCACATATTCAAAATTCAGACTCTTGGCAACTGACTCATATTTATGACTATTGTGGTGTTTCAGGGTCACGTGATCTCCTTTTGTGACCTTTTGACAAACGAAGTCAATGGAGAAGTCAGATTCACAACTCTATTACTAACTTAATAGCTGTAGTGATTTGCTTAACAACCATGCAAGAAAGATCATAAAATGGGGGCAAAACTCACTTAATCATGTCTCAGGTAGCTATGGAAATTTTGGGCTTAGTTGTGATTGTAAGTCAAGGACTACCTGTACTACACTATTCTACATTAAGCAACCTATTTCCCCACCAAGCATCAAATTTTTTCACTGGTAATTTTGATTACGGGTAAGTAGGACTACAGCCAAAATGGGTAAAAAAATACTGCAATTTCTTATTGGAATTAGTTCCCCTATTTTTGTCACTTTCTGCTCTTTCCCCCCCAAGTAACATGCTTCAGCTAACATATTTTTGCTAGCAGTTGCATTAGAGAAGTTGCATGGATTGTAAGAGGACTTCTTGGTATAGTTTCTGTGCAGAGCAACTGTATTATGCAATTTATCAGAATGGAAAATGCCCAAGCATCATTTGTACTGAATCATACTGAACAAAATCAAGGTAGTAATAATGTTCAAACTATTTTATTTAAATCACAATGAACGAGGCAATCAATCAAGTAGATTGCCAGTAATTATTTTTAGTACAATGGGCATAACTAATAAGACCTTAGCTGGAAGGAACCTTTTTTGGCCTTTCATGGTGGGTAGTGGGTTTGGATCACATGTTTACATAATTATATCAACAAATTATCCCATTGAATCACACATAGGGCCACACAAAGAAATACAGAAGAAGAAAAAAACTGCTAAATGCTACAGAAGAATGTTACGTCTCTTTTCACCTCTCTCCCCAACTTTCCAATCTATCTCAACAGGTTGCTATGGGATATCATACAGTATATGCACATTGCTGCAGTGAACAAGGCATCTTGGGCTCTGAAAGTAGTAGCAATTACTCTAGTAACCTCACTGAAAGGATTTTAGGAACAAACATTGAAGTTTCCCACTGGAGGTGGCACTTTAGCTGCTGGCCTGTACAGCCTTATTAACAGGTCAATTTAAGAAAAGTAGAAACAGAAGGTAGAGAACTGGAATCACCTGCAGCAGGATTTTGTCCTGTTAAAAACATTCCAAGGAATTGGGTAGTTTTGAGAAAACATGAAATAGGAATTTTTATTAATCATAATATTTTACTAATTTTTACTAATCATAATATTTACTATTACAGATAGATAGTATTATTTAAATAAAAGAATGGTAACTTTACTGTTTTGTGGTTCAGTGGTTAAGATGCAGGGTTTGTTGGCTGGAAAGCCAACAGCCCAGATTGCTGTCCCAAAGGTCTTGAAATGGAGATTAGCACTACCCATTATAGTTGGCTATCACAGGGAATCCTTTACCTTTTGAACTTTACTTTTCATTAAACTCTCAATTTGCAAAGATCACTGTTTCAAACTACTGTGTTTCCCCAAAAATAGGACCCAGTCTTATTAAGAGGGATTAGGTCTTATTTTCTGGGAACGTCTACCACTGTCTCACCTTGCAACAGCGGCACCAACAACCCTGCCCAGCGGGAGCCCATGTGGCCACAGCCGGCTCACTTCTTGATAGTGAAATGGAGGCCAGGGGCAATGCATGCAAGCTGCAGCAAGACACTGCAGAAGTGGGCCAGCAAGGTGAGGCAGGTGTCAGGATATTGTGCAACCAGGTGAAAGGAATGGGTGAGATCTTAACTAGGCATATTTTGTGGGTAGAGCTTATATTGGGCGCATGTGTAAAAATCAAGCTAGGGTTTATTTTTGGGATAGGTAAAATAAACCTAAAATAAACCTTGGGATCCTTCAGGGAAACACAGTCAGTTCAAGTGACAACAGGCAACATATTAAACATTTCATTTTAATTTGATTTTTAAAGCTCAATGTTAGGAATGTAAGTCACATAACAGCTATTTGGGTTGGAAATATATAAACCAGGATAGACATTTTAATACTGTATCTTTAAGAAAATGCAAAACTGTACTTGGGTGTGTTTTCTCAAACGGCCATAAGATGGAGCCAGAAACCTGGGTTGTCTTAGTCTTAGTCTCAGAAGAAGTCTCAGTGAGTCTCTGTTTCCTTCTGTTGGAGAATATTGC